TTCATCAGTAGCCATACAAAGAGAATAAAATACACAGAAGATGAAAGTCCCAGAAGGCGCATGATCTATATCAGAATTAGTTTAAAGCCCTTCACGTGAAGATAAGATCTGCATCAGAAATATTTTAAGTCTCTTCACATGGACCACATGCTAAGCAACGGCCAAAACATCAGAGATATTATTTTTAATATGATCTTCTGAAGAAGCTACAGATTCTCTACAAAAGGCTACAAGAATTCAAATCTGAGATTTGGAATTCAAATTTGAGATCTAAAAATTCAAATTTGAGATTGTCTTTTTCCAACGGACAACTTCTCAAAACCAGCTATAAAAGGATGAAGAATGAAGCAGATCAACTCACTTCCAACGAGCCAAAAACGTGAGATCATACGAATCCAATCTGCTTGAAAAAGCTTACATGTGAGAAAATATTCAAGTGAGAAAAACACTCAGAGAGCTCAAAGAGAAAATATTCAAGAGTGTTAATTCTTCATCATTGAGAGACTTGCTGCATATTGAAGATCCATTCAAGAAGTCTCAAAGTTGGAAAGTCAGTGAAACTTGTTTTTCTACAAACAAGTGAATCAACAGTGTTGGAGAACACTGGACGTGATTAGTGTGGGCTTTGTGATCAAAGCACTAGTTCACGGGATACGTCGAAGACGGGGGGAAAGTAGCACGGAGTTGTGAAATCCTGGATTGTCACACGGAGCTGTGAGATCCGAAACAGCAGTGTCAGAGGCACTGGGCGTGATTGGTGTGGGCTTGGTGATCAAAGCACCAGATCACGAGATACGTCGACCGGATCGTGGAAGACGGGGGGAAAGTAGCACAGGGCTGTGAAATCCTGGAAAGTAGCACGGAGCTGTGAAATCCAAAGCAGCAGTGTTGGAGGCACTGGGCGTGATTAGTGTGGGCTTAGTGATCAAAGCACTAGATCACGGAAATTCATTGTATCTAGGAACCAAGAAGTGGTGGATATAGTGAATTGCTCTTGGACAATAAGAGCAAGTGGAGTAGGGGGATTACATCACCTCCGAACCACTATAAATTGCCTTGTGTCATTTACTGCTTTATTTACTTACTGCATATCACGTTGATGTACTTGACACAATCACACAACTCGTATTTATTTATTCCGCTGCGTACAAGACTCTAACAATCTAGTTAAGAGTCTTGATCTCTCTGTTGCCTTAGCAATTGTTGTATTTGCAAAAAAGTTTAAAAGTCTATTCACCCCCCTCTAGACTTTTACCACACCCCCTTTGGGACAAACACTTATGAACTTGTAGTGCTAGCTGATGATGAACCTGTAGTCAGCAAAAAAGGCAAGTCAGTGGCTTTTGTTGCTGAAGCTGATCGAGAATCTGACACAGATGAAATAGATGACGAAGCATTAGCCTTGCTAACAAAGAACTTTAAGAAAATATTGAAAGGCTTCAATCGCAGGAGTCAAAGACAACCTAACAGGACACAGTACAAAAGTGGAAACTCCTCATATCAGAAAACAGAAACACCCTCCTTCTCACAGAACAGTCAGTCCCAGACTGGCCGAATAAGACAAATCAGGAGTAATCCAACTGACACAGTTAGACCTCTAAATCGATCAGTGCAATGTCGATAGTGTGAAGGATTTAGACATATACAATCTGAATGTGCAACTTATCTCAAAAGAAAGAAAGCTATGTCAGTGGCGACCCTAAGTGATGTTGATGAGGAAGCAGCAAATGACCAGTCTGATGAAAATTGGGAAACTTCGTGGCCTTCTTCACAGCGACAGAGAAGCATTCAGAAGAATCGTACATATCATCAGATGACTTTGAAGAGAGACATACACAACTAGAACTGGAATTTGCTAAACTAGTTGGAAGTTGGGAACAATTGGTGAAAGTCAATAAGAGTCTGAATGAAGATCTGAAGCAGTGATATGATCTCCTGAAGAAACTAAACACTGAACTCGTCTTAAAAGAAGATCTTATTACTCAGATAAGATCACGAGAGGGAAAATTGATAAAGGAACTGGAGGATCTAAAGAAGAATATCAAGATGATGGATACCACCTCTACCTTAGACAAAATTCTGGATTCTGGTCGAAATCCCAATGATAAAAAGGGACTCGGTTTTGAACGAGGAGAGTCCTCAAAGACGGCACCTATGTTTATAAAAGAAGGTACATCAGTTGATAAACCGATTCATAGTTATGAACAAGGTCAATCATCTCGGTCAACTCAGTTAAAACAGAAAGGAATCATGCACACTCGGATTGCTGACACTAAATCTGGCAAGATCAAATTTCAATCGCAGTACTCAAGGTTCAGGACTAAGTTCGAAAAAGTTAGACAATACGTACCCAACTGTCACTATTGTCAAACAAAATAAAACACCCGACCTGAATGTTATTTCTTCTATAGAGATCAAAGGAAGGAGAAATAATAGAACAAGTCTATTACTCCCTTCGTAAGACAGGTTTGGGTCAGGAAATCAGAAGTAATATGCTATCCCACAATCATTCTGACCGCCTCTATGACTGAAGCAAGATGGTATTTCGACAGTGGATGTTCCAGACATATGACTGGGAATGTCAAGTGTCCATGTCTGTTCAACCTAGCAGTGGATCAGTTACGTATGGGGACAGGCAAAAAGGAAAGATAGTTGGAAAAGGTACCCTAAATGTGCCAGGTCTACCACATCTGGATGAAGTTCTCTTAGTCAGTGGCCTGAAAGCAAATCTTATTAGCATCAGTCAGCTGTGTGATCAGAATTGGAATGTGTGCTTCAATCGTGAATGTTGCAGAGTCCGTGATAAAGCAGATCAAGTGGTAATGGAAGGAACACGATCCTCTGACAATTGTTATGTTCTGACAAATGAAACTGCATGTTTAATATCTAAAACAGACGAATCAAAACTGTGGCATCGACGATTGGGTCACATAAACTTCAGAGATATGGAAAAATGATCAAATTAGATGCTGTTCGTGGATACCTAAGCTCAAAATAGAATAGGAAGGAGTTTGTGGTGCATGTGCCATTGGAAAGCAAATAAGAGCTCTTCACAAAGCAGTAAAAATAATCACTACTGAGAGATGTTTAGAACTGGTTCATATAGACCTCATGGGACCAACTCTGACTGAAAGCATTGGCAGAAAGAAATACATCTTTGTGTGTGTAGATGACTTCTCTCGGTTTAGCTGGGTATACTTTCTGAGGGAAAAATCTGAGGCATTCAATGCATTCAAAACTCTATGCATAAGAGTTCAAAAAGAAAAAGACGAACCCATAATAAAAATCCAAAGACTGAGAAGTGATCATCGGAAAGAGTTTGAAAACTCCTTATACTCATATTTCTGTTCCGAAAGTGGTATAGCTCATGAGTTCTCGGCTCCCAGAACAGCACAGCAGAATGGTGTGGTGGAAAGAAAGAATCGGACCTTGCAGGAAATGGCTAGAGTAATGTTACATGCATCGCATCTGCCATAGCGTTTCTGGGCTGAAGCAGTGCACACAGCATGTCATACTGTGTATAGAGTCTATCTCAGACCAGGTACGTCTAAGACACCATATGAGATATGGAAAGGGAAGAAGCCAAATTTAAAGTACTTTCATGTGTTTGGAACAAGATGCTATGTGCTAATTGATAGGGAACAAAGAGGAAAGTTTGAACCCAAGAGTGATGAGGGCATCTTTCTTGGATACTCTCCAAACAGTCGAGCTTATCGAGTTTACAGCAAAAGAACTCAATCAGTCATGGAATCAGTGAACGTTGTTATAGATGACAATCCAGAAGAATCATATGAAACATCGGTGATTGATCTAGAGACAGATCTCCCTATCAGTGAGTCGTTAAAAACAATTGAGGAAACCAAACTGTCTGACACACATGATTCATCAGAAGAAGATAAAGAAAACCCTGAAAAGGAGAACCCTCTCTCGGATGGTGATGGTAAGAACAAGCCCACCAGAACTCAGAAAAATCATCCATCAGACAACATAATTCGTAATCCAACAGATGGAATGAACACCAGGAGTTGAATGAGAAGCAATCTGATAGAAATATCCGGCTTTGCCTGCTACACCTCAAAAATAGAACTGAAAAATGTGAAGGAAGCCTTGCAGGATGATTTATGGGCGAAGGCAATGCAAGAGGAGCTACATCAGTTTGAACGAAATCATGTATGGGATCTGGTACCAAGACCTGACCGAGTTAACATAATCGGAACAAAGTGGATCTTCAAAAATAAAACTGATGAAGCCAGTAACATTGCAAGAAACAAGGCTCGTCTAGTTGCTCAAGGATATACCCAAATAGAGGGAATTGACTATGATGAAACGTTTGCTCCTGTTGCAAGACTGGAGTCAATCAGAATTTTGTTGGCAGTAGCGTGTATTCTGGGATTCACACTGTTTCAGATGGATGTTAAGACAGCGTTCTTGAATGGTTATCTGCATGAAGATATCTGTGTGGCACAACCTAAAGGATTTGAAGACCCAGTTCATCCGACGCATGTCTACAAGCTCAGAAAAGCTCTCTATGGGCTTAAACAAGCTCCAAGGGCATGGTACGAACGTCTGACACAGTATCTGTTGCATCATGGGTATAATCGAGTGTTGATAAGACCTTATTTGTTAAAACCACTAGAAGTCATGCTACTATAGCTCAGATCTATGTAGATGATATTGTCTTCGGGTCTACTCTACAGAAATATACTGATGACTTAGTGAAGGTTATGAAGGAAGAATTTAAAATGTCTATGGTTGGTCAACTGACTTATTTTCTAGGACTTCAAGTGAAACAGAGTCCTGAAGGCTACTTTATCTCACAAGAAAAGTGTGCTAAGAATTTGGTCAAGAAGTTCGATCTGGAATCATGCAAAACTCACAGGACTCCTATCTCCACCTCCACAAAGGTATCAAAAGATGATACTGGTGCATCAGTTGATAACACAGTCTATTGAAGTCTGATTGGAAGTCTGCTCTACTTAACCGCTAGTCGACCAGATATAATGTTCAGTGTTGGAATGTGTGCAAGATATCAATCAAATCCCAAAGAATCACATTTGATAGCTGCTAAATGGATCTTGAAATACATCAAGGGAACAATTCAGTATGGGATATGGTATTCCAAGGACAGTGAACTTAGTCTGATTGCATATTGTGATGCTGATTGGGCAGGAAATATTGATGACAGGAAAAGTACATCAGGTGCATGCTTCTTTGTTGGAAAGAATTTAGTATCATGGCTAAGCAAGAAACGGAATTCAATCTCTCTAAGTACTGCAGAGGCAGAATACATAGCAGCTGGAGGATGTTGCACTCAGTTGGTCTGGATGAAGCAAATGCTTCTAGATTATGGTCTCACTCAAAGGACTATGACACTCTACTGTGACAATATCAGTGCAATAAATATTTCAAAGAACCCAGTTCAACATTCCAGAACGAAGCATATTGATATAAGGCATCACTATATCAGAGACTTGGTAGAATCAAAGGAGATAGAGTTGGAATATATTCAAACAGATAAGCAATTGGCTGACATACTGACTAAGCATCTGGACGCAAATTAGTTTGAGATTCTCAGATCTGCTCTGAGAATCTGCAGGATTGATTAATAAGGCAGAATGATAATACAGAAGGAGAGGGTATGGTGGTCTCAATCACGGGTCAAAATTACATCTTTGACTTCCTTTTTAATCTCTCTTCTATTTTTGTTAAGATAATATCTTAACCTTGGTTACCAAATTTAATTCGCATTTTCAAAATTCAAATCTTCCGTTTAATCCCTAAAAAGGAGCTATACTGTTGCGTCAATCACATCACAGCTGCATGGATTCTGACAGCCGCATTGAATAGTGTTCATCACCCTTGGGATTATATATTTTATCGGGTCAATATTGATGGAAGAAGAGTCCTAATTTCTACTTTTCTCTATGATAATCGCTTACTGATCTTCTACCTAGGGTTTCTCTCTTCTCTTTCCCAACTCGCACAACTATGGCGGATGCAGTGAGGAATATTATCATCAAGCTAGGAAGGAAAATCCATTCACACAGAAACCGCTACGAAGCATGTAAAAACTCTTCTTCAACTCGCAATGAAAAAGAAGTTGAAGCTTGACTCTGCTCTCCGCGACGAAATCATTGTCACAGTGCTTTCAGCCTACCCGGAGTTCTATGCGGACTGGTCCGACGATGATACAAGTGATCTTTTGATGTTGGCTTCCAAAGCGAGTGATGACTAACCCTGCGTTCATTTCTGAGCCTGAAGATGGAAATCGTGCTGGGGCTTTCGTCCAATATTTCGCCCAAAGGGCTCTAGAATCGGAAGAAGTCTCGCGTCGACGGGCAGCAGCTCAACCTCTCTACCTTCAAGCTGCACAGGACGAAGCTAAACACCGTCTTGAGACTCTTCGCAACAGGTCTAATACTTCTGAAACTCCTATTGAGATTTCCCCTGATAAGCCTGATGAATTACTTTCTGATGATATTGATTCTGCTTTGCTTATTGTACAATCTACTAAAGAGAATGCTTTACTGTCTATGAAATCCTCTGTGTCTACTGATCCCCACCTTGTGTCTTCTGAAAATATTGAGCCTACAAAAGTAGTTCTAGACATTGAGTCTGAAGGGAAAGATAAACAATCTGACAAAGTAAAAAATTTGAGCCTGGTTGTTTACTCTGCTGATGTTGAGCGATCTGCTATTTCTGTTGTGCCTCTATCTGAGGTTGCTAAGTCACCGGTTGAAGTGTGTCCAGTTGATGATCCTCTTAAGTTGTCTACTGAAATTGAAGTTGACAAACCTTCAAGCCCTCGTCCCTCTGCTACGATTGATGGAGTTCTGGTTTATACATCCTCTACCTTGGCTGAGAGCCTTGACCACATCCGACACTTTGCGGGTTTACCTCCTGCTTCTGTACCTGAACCATATAGATTTATTCATCCTGATGATCCCTCTGTGCAGATAGACAGTGATGATGAGAAAATACTGGCTGAACTGTATGGTCCACAAGCCCCGTTGTCTAGACCTCTTACAGTGGAAGCGACAGCACATCCAGACTCCACTACATTCAAAATTAGAGAAGTCTCCAAACTTCTTGCTCTTCGTCTGCTCCTGTGTCTAAAACAAGCCACTCGGTTTCACCAAGCCCAACTGATCATTCTCCAGCCAGAGAAACAAGAAAATCTAAACACAAAGGTGTTCTTGACAGAGTAGCCGTTGAAACCAGTGATGATAATCTTGACATTGTTCAACCTGAGCAAAGATGACAATCTGCTGAATTAGTAAAGGCTGAAAGTGACCCACCTGTTCAACAAGTGTTTAAAATTTTGAGATCGTCTGTCAAGAACAAGGCCCCTGCTACGATTTCCACTACTTTTACCAGAAAGATGAAACCCACTACAAGGTCAAGAGGAAGGAGTGTCACTCCTGATGTCCAAGCTGCTTCGGACAATCCTGAAACCACCATTTACCAACCTCAGTTTGTTTCTGCTACAGCTCAAGGCAAGTGGTCTACGATGGTACGAAGAGAGCTTATAGTTCAGAGGTCGGTTGATGAGAATCAGTTGAACTCTATTTGTGACATTTTACCCTTGCTGAGTGAGGTTGGCCTCATGAAGACTGTCACCTCCATTTGCCCCTACTCGAAGCTGCTGACCTACGAGTTGTACTGCAATCTGAATGAAGAAATTGACAATATTACGGGGACCCGGTGCATGCAGATTTTCATCAGAGGAAAGTGGTATGTTTTCGATCCAGACATGATTAATGACTACTATGGATTGAAGGCTGTTGATGAAGAAGAGATTACGGACTGGGATTTGGTTGCAAGGACTCTCACTGGTGATCAAACTCCTGTATGGCCTACAGGTGATATTGACACTCTGTCTAGCTCGAAGCTTACCTCCAAATATGTTATTCTGCACCGTATTGCCCTGCACAATTGGCTCCCTTCTGCCCATTTTCATACGGTTGGCAAGCAACTGGCTACTCTCCTATTCCGTATTGGCACAAAAATGTCCATTGATCTGGGGAAGTGGATCTTCTATCATTTCCTCACATTGATTCATCCGAGGGAACAGAAGGTAAGACTGTCTTATCCTAATCTCATATTTGGAGTTCTGACGTCGTAGGGCCTAGTACCAATGCCAAGTGAGATTATCAGTCCAACTCTGCTCTATACTGTTGATCCACGACTCTTGAATGTCAAGCACATCCGAGATGTTACACTTGTTAATGCTCCTCCATCATCTAACGATGACACTCCTGTTGACGACTCGCCCCATGCTATACAGAGGATCATATCTTTGATTATCATGCCTCTTCTCAAGAATATATGTTCTTGGTGATTATGATGAAGAACTTGAGAAGAACTATCGTTGCTTAAACGAAAGGACGCGAAGATCACTCAGTTGTGGGAACAACATGGGACTGCGTTATTGAAGCGGACTGCATCAGAGTTAGCTCTCCAATCGAAGGGATTTCATTGGACTTCTGCATGCGTGGCTCTCCGTCTTCAACAATCCACTAAACCTTTGTAGACTGGGTACGTACCTTGTGTGGGGCACTTGGGTGAGATTGTTGTTTCTCTACCTTTGTACATTGAATTATGAGTTAGTGGATTGGACGCCTCGGTGATCGTCCCCCAAATGTAGATACACACCGTATCGAACTGGGTAAACATCGTATGTGTTGATTTGTTATTTGCTTTAGTTTTTTCCTCTACGAACTAATCTACAATCTATCTATCTGACTGACAATTCACGTCTCCGAATCAGTCACTCCATTACACCAGTTGTTTATCTCTAATAATCATCTTAAACTGGGGAAATGCAAAATTACAAGAAGAATGACTCTTATTGGATGCTGGATTTGGAGATCTAGGCCTCTCTGTTAGTGCCTTGATCTCTTGTAACAGTTTGGCCTCACTGCCTTTTGACTCCCTTAATTCATTCTGAGTATCTTTAAGGCGTTTTTCATTACTCTCTTTTTCATTTTTTAGAAACTGATTTTCATGTATGAGTTCAAGATTTACTTTGATGATTTGTTCCCATTTAGCATGCAGCTGTGTATATGACTCTAGCAGTTCTTGTATATCATTTTCGTTTCCGTTGTCATTCTCATGATTTGTGGTGAATGCTATGAAATTAGTGTTGATATCTTCTTCATTGTTTGAGTCATCGCTTAGTGTTGTCACATATGTTTTGTTCTTCCTTTTAAAGTATATTGGACATTCTGACTGGATGTGTCCAAACCCTTTGCACTCATAGCATTGTATCCCTTCTGTGTTTGATAGTCATTCTCTTGGAAACTCCATTAGGATCCTGCTAGTAACTTAAGCAGTTTGGCTCTGATACCAATTGAAATTTGCAAACACGCAGCACTAACGTTGTAACACAAACGATTTGTAACGCAGTTCGGGCAAACAACCCTAATCTGCGAGGCACTTCTCAATTTGGAAACTTGCCTAAATCCGCTAAAAGCTCAATATTTAAAGTACACTGTTTGGAACATGAGATTACACAATAGAATGATCTTTCCTACCAAACTATTGAAACCTAAACACATGTACTACTTTCCAGGGGAATTTAGTATCCTATTCTCAAAGACTCTCGTACCTCACAAGATTAATGTTGAATGCTTGAGTTCTACAATAAAAGACAATCCCTATTTATAGTAACTACTCCTAACAGATTCGTGAATAACAAAGCTATTCCTAATCAAACTAGAAATAGAAAAACTTCAATAACAATTCCCTTTAGCTATTCCTCTTATGACTGGTATTCCATTATAGAACTGGAATTCTTTTTGCACATAACTTTGACAAAACACTTTGAGTCAACAAGTACAATATAGGTAAATATAAGAAACTCATTTGAAAAATAGAATACATAATATACTTATGAGACTCTAATTTAAATCTAAGATCACGACTCACGATACATTAACACTCAACAGTATAGAATAATCATAAAGACTAACATGTGTCCTAAGAACACGTTGCAAGGCATAATAGACAGATAAGCATATAAA